AATATTGTCATGTTACTAAAGTTATAGAAAAATATATGCAAGTTCATTCCATTAATTTTACAAATATTAATATAGATAATATATTTAATTATTTTAAGACGAATAAGGATTTTTTTAGAGATGTAGATCTTGGAAAAACACATTTTTCGAATGTATTAGAATCAAATAATCTATATGATTTTTATCTTTATTTAGAAAATTGTCTATTTCCATCAATTATAAGCTTAGAATTTTTAATAGCAAATTTAATTAAGATTAACTTTCCTGAATTATAAAATAATTTCAATATTAATTTGCCAGGTATTGAAATAAAGCTTTGATTTTTTAAAAGCTTTACAATAAATTTTAGTATATCAGGTAAAGCTGATCAATTAAATATATTACGACAAGGTGGTACTGATCCACATAAAGATAATGTAGATTGTATGAATGCATTTTATGCAATAGTAGTTTTTGGAGATTTTGAAGGAGGAGATTTAGTATTAAGTGAAATTGTAATTACAATCGAAATTAAAGGTGGATATATAATTTTATTAATTATAGGAAATAGATTTGCTATAGTATATTATTTAAGAAAATATTTTTATAATGAAGTTTAATAATTATTTAATAAATACTTTATGTTAAAAAATATTATGTATTGCCATTTGGTTGTTTTATCATCAATTAATTAACAAAAAATATAAAAAATATACATTATTGTAAATTGATTAATTATCATTACTAAATAAGTAATTTCTAAATAAGGATTCAGTTTACACAATTTCATTTAAAAAAAAATCATCATGAAATTGTAGCAGTTATTGGAAGTACAACATTGTTAAAAAAATTACAATACTAATGTTTCAGATGAAACTTATTTTACCAAAAGTATTTTCAAATCAAGTTTTTAGATAGTTTCGGATATATGGGTAGAACTGAAGTGAAAAGATTCAGCTTTAAGAAAATTGTTTTACTTATTGTTTCGTCTGAAATACTATACAACACACATAATTATTATACTTAAAATTATTATAAATAGGATGGATTTTTTCTAAATAGATTCAAACAAATCCAAACAATCTAAACAAATGTTAAGAATTAAACAATTTATAAAACTCAAATTATTCTATAATAAAACAAATCATTTTTTTAATAAAAAATGGAAAAAGAACTTTATTTATGTAAATGTGTATTTAAGGTTCTGCAAAAAATCTGATTTGATCTGAATCCGATCTGTTTCGAACCTTCAGATTCGAATCGGATTTATCAAATTCAAATCAAATTCAAATCAGATTCAAACTAAATCTGATTCGTCAGATTCGAATTAGATTTATAAAATTCAGATCGAATTCGAATCAAATTTATAAAATTCGAATCGAATCTGTCGAATTTGAATTTGGGTCTGATCTGAAATCTGATCTATTGTATTTATAATTGTGTTGTGTTACATTCTTTACTTTTATTTATATTAAAAAATAACGGTTTTTAAAAATTTTTATTTTCCTTTTTTTTTTTTAAATTTTCGAATAATACATTAAAAAGAATTTTAAATAAGAATTTTTAATAATTTTTTTTTAAATTAAAAAAAAAAAAATTACCTGTTTTCGTTTTCACTTTATCTTACTGTTTTTTGCCTTCATTTTTCCTTGCTCCTTCTTGTTTTTTTTTCTTTACCTTTTTGTTTTTCTCCCCTATTTGTTTTCCTCTTCATTGTCCTTTTCATTTTTCACTTTATTTTTCCCTTCGTCTTCTCCTTCATTTTTCTTTTCATTTTCCTTTTCATTTTATCTTTATTTTCCTTTTTTGTATCCTTTTTGTTTTCTTCCCCTTCATCTTACCCTTTCATCTTCCCCTTCGTTTTCCTCTTCAATTTCTCCTTCATCTTTCCCTTCGTTTTTCCTTTTCGTCTTCCCCTTCGTCTTCTTTTCATTGTGGAAAAAAAGTATTACGGGAGTAAATGGGGAAAGGTTGGATTGGCTAACGTTTATAACAAAAGCAAGATATTTTAATTCCTCACTGTCATCTTTTTTCTTTTTCTTTTAGGGCGGTTGTTGTAATTTCAAAGAAAAAAATTAGGTAAGTTTATTTAAATTTTTTTTTAAATTTAAATAAATAAAATAATATACTTACCTTTTTTTCTTATTTTTCCTTTCTTCTTTTCTTTTATCTTCCCTTTTATCATTTTTTTTTCTTATTTGCTCGTTATTTTTTCTTGTTTTTTCATCATGTTTCATTATTTTCTTTATTGTCGTCTTGTTTTTCTTCATTTATTCCTTCTCTTTTACTTTTATATTTTTAGGATGGTTTTTCTTAATTCTAAGCAAAAGGGCTCTTATTTAAATAAAAAATTAGGTAAGTCTTTTTTAATATTTTTTTTTGTTAATTTAAAATAAAAATAATAATTTACTTATCTTATTCTTTTTCCTTTTCTTTTTTTATTCCTTTATTGTCTCCTTCTTCTCATTTGTCATCTTTTTATCTTTTTTGTCTTTTCTTTTGTTATCATTTTAATTCCTTTCATCTTTCTTTCGTCTTCTTTTCACCTTTGTTTCGTTTATTTCTTCGTTTTTCTTTTTTTCTTTTTTTAGAACGGTTATTTCTTAATTAATTTCAAGCAAAGAAGGTTTATTTTATAAAAAAAAAATTATTTGGTTTTTTTTAATAATTTTTTTTAATTTAATTTAAAAAAATTAATTTACTAACCTTTTTTTCTTTTTCTTCTTTCATTAATTATCTCCTTTGGCATTTTTTTTTGACTTCCTTCATCACTCCTTTTCATTTTTCCCTTAATTTTTTTCCTTTCTTTCGTTGCCTTCCTCTTCATTATCCTCCTTCTTGCCTTCATCATCTAATTCTTTTCTTTTATCTTTCCCTTTATCGTTATCTTGTTTCTCTTCACTTTTTCTTCGTCTTCCTTTCGTTTAATTTTTTATTTTTTTCTTTTTTTAGGACGGTTGTTTCTTTAATCTAAGCAAAAGGATTTCTTTTATAAAAATATATATTTGGTAAATTTTTTAATAATTTTTAATTTTAAAAAAAATAATTTACTAACTTTTTTTCTTTCTTTTTTTATTGCCTTTTTCTTTTTGTCTTCTCCTTCATTACTCTTTTTCATCTTTCCTTTTGTCACCTTCTCCTTCTCTTTCGTCACCTTCCTCTTCCCTTTTATCGCCTTTCCTTTCATCGCCTAATTCTTCCTTTTCCTCGCCTTCTCTTTGTCGTCTAATTCTTCCCTTTCGTTGCCTTCCTTTCGTCGTCTTCCCTTTCATCATCTAATTCTTCCCCTTTGTCTTCCCTTCATTGTTATCTTACTTTCCTTCACTTTCCCTTCGTCTTCCTTTCGTTTATTCTTTAGCTCCTTCATTTTATTAAATTTTAATTAAATTAAAATAAATAAATAAGATTTATTTCAATTTATTTCGTTTAGAAAATAAAAGAAAAAAAAAGAATTAATTTTTTTTTTAATATTAATAATCATTACTTTAAATAAGTTTTATTTATCACAATTTAATTTAATTATTATTTTTAATTTTTTTTAGTTTAAATTATGGAACCTGTTGTTATTATTGATGATAATCATA